TGTTTCTTCTTGTTAAGAATGAACCTGCCACTAACTTCTTGAAGAATGCTACTGTGAAGGGTTGAAGCAGAGAATTCACCCTTTGGGCGGCCTCCCATGTATGCGATATAAACCTGCAAAAATCAAAATGGAATTCATTTTCATTTTGCAAGTTATGGAGACCCATAGGCCTTGCTTAATATGAGCCTAGTTGTTCTCGCACAAAAACTTGATTGTAAGGCAGTATATGGCTATAGGTACGTACGTTTGGTTCATGTTCATTAGAGGCAATCGCAACAGCAAGGAGCAGACTACAAGTGTAAGTAATAAAGGTAAACCAAATCAAAGTAGAGGTTGCATGTGTATATCCCCATTGGAGAAGTTTTGTTAAGAAATTATGATTAGCATTATGCGAAATATGAGTATTATATATATGCTTTGTTCTTCGACACCTAAGGTATTAGAGATATTTTCTTTTTAATTGCAATATAGCCATTACTCATAATCCATTGTATGGCAGTTACACATTAATATATTTTCCCTTTTTTTTTTGGAACACAGTAATATACTTTCCTTCTGATTTATAGCCATTAATTGGCATCTGCTTTAGGAATACACATTAATATATTTTCCCCTTTTTTTTGGAACACAGTAATATACTTTCCTTCTGATTTATAGCCATTAATTGGCATCTGCTTTAGGAATCCTTATTCCAATATCTTTTTCTTTATTAAAATAAGAAAATTTAGATTATATAACGTATTTCAAACTTCATCTTATGAGTAAATTTTATTTGTTTATAAGTGAATTCAAGTAATATATTTACTATTCATTTGACAACAAATTTTTTTGACATATTTAATAAGTCTTTTCAATTTATACCAAACATATCCTTATCTATTAACTCATTATATATCTTCCTTTATAAAGATGAATATTTCTTAACACTCCTTTCAATAAATTTTGATTCATCAAAAAAATTAATTTCGTATTTGTAGCTAAAGTCCTGCATATCTTTTTGAAAAGAGGATTTGTTTAACCTATGTTATTAAAAT